CACAAAAGCGCATCACATTATCCTGGTGTGGGAAGTTATCATCCAGCCCTCTTCCAGAAAAATGGGAAAACTTATTTTGCAAGGGGGGAAAATGCTGTCGCTTTAAATCAGAACTGAGCATGCCTGGCTGTGGAATTCTGGGAGTTGAAGTCCACATGTCTAAAAAGTGCCTCACCAGGCTTAAAGCTGACTGCACATCATTGCTCTGCAGGTAATGTTCCTCATAAACTTTAATAACTTGAAGCCCTCCAGTATGTCCCCAGGATTCTTAGTACCAGGAGAACTGGTAGAATATTATCAAATGCTATCAATAAGGGGACACTAAAATATTCAGTAAGCAGATTGAAAGTAATATTGTAGAAAAATCAGAATCAAACCCATGTGGGAAATTGGATGTTTCCAGGAGGATCACTGGCAAATAAAAATTAAAATCTTCTTTAAATCAGATTTCTGCAGACTTTGATAACCTGTCTCTACATTTTCTTTGGCAACAGTGTAGAAATCAGCTGCCCTCTTCTGGAATTATTTCTGTTATTACTTTCAATTTCTACATTTCCCATCAACCCTGGTCTTTACAGCACTTTCTATACAAATCAAGGATACGACATCAACTTTCTTGATCAAAAGTACTCCGTTTCAGCTTTACCTGTGAACTTGCTTTGGTGACCTCACGAACGGCAAAATAATGATAGTGGTTATTTTCAGCATTGAATTTGGCCAGGCTTTCTCTAGCTGCAGCCTGAAAACTCTCTTCAGAAGGATTTCCGCATAGTGGACAGTCGGGGCAAACTCTTGAAATAGCAGAACCAGGAACTTTAAAAAAAAAATCAAAGAAGTATTATTTAAAATGGTGAGATGATACATTTGAATTGGAGCGTGTACATTTAAATGAAGCAAAATACAGAAACATTTTCAGCCTGAAAATAAATGATCTCACTCAAATGTGCATCTAGTCAGGTTGATGGTTGTTTAACAACCTAAAACAACCCTCAACCAATGGTGAAATTCAATTTTGTTTACTACCGGTTCTGTGGGCGTGGCGTGGCGGGCATGGCAGGGGAAGCATATTGCAAAATCTCCATTTCCTCCCTCCCCTCCACTCTGGGGCCAGTCAGAGGTGGTATTTGCCGGTTCTCGAACTACTCAAAATTTCCGCTACCGGTCCTCCAGAACCTGCTGAATTTCACCCCTGCCCTCAACAGAACAGAAACGGTGAAGCTTGTCATTGTGAGAAATCTGAAGGCGGGAACCAATAGAAAATAATATCTTAATGCTACCGGTTGGATTCTGGTGCTCTTTCACCTTGTTTTTTGCAGATGTTTCGTTACTCAGGACCTTTCTTGTACCAATGCTTTCTTGTGCCAGCCAACTTCAGACTGGAGCCCCAAAAACAATTTGGATCTTTTTTCTTCTGTTTAATTGTCTCTGATTCCTGGAGGCAACCTGGATAAGTCCCTGCAATTTCCTTTTCGGGATAATTTTCTTTTCTGGATAAGTCCCTGCAATTCCCCTTTTTGGAATAATTTCTTTTCTGGATAAGTCCCCGCAATGTTCTTTTTGGGATAATTTTCTTTTCTGGATAAGTCCCTGCAATTTCCGTTTTTGGGATAATTTTCTTTTCTGGATAAGTCGCCACAATTTCCCCTTTTGGAATAATTTCTTTTCTGGATAAGTCCCTGCAATTTTCTTTTTGGGATAATTTTCTTTTCTGGATAAGTCCCTGCAATTTCCGTTTTTGGGATAATTTTCTTTTCTGGATAAGTCGCCACAATTTCCCCTTTTGGAATAATTTCTTTTCTGGATAAGTCCCTGCAATTTTCTTTTTGGGATAATTTTCTTTTCTGGATAAGTCCCTGCACTTTTCTTTTTTTGGGATAATTTTCTTTTCTGGATAAGTCCCTGC